CCTGGCGCATACCGCGGTGAATAACACCAAAACGGCCCCACTGTGGTGTCACACTTTTTCACCAGTTTTTAATCAAAGTCTATTTGTAAGGGTTACTGACGGTCCTAATCATGAATATGGTACTAATTATTCATGCTAACTCCATTTTGCGCGAATTTTGAAACGTCAACTCGAAATGCAAAAATTTGTCACCACGAGGAATCGAACTAGGGACCCCTTTTCTGGTATTCAGAGGGCCGTTCAGGAAAAATGAACCATGGTTCTGTGGTCCCCACATGTGCCCCAATGTCATGCAAGAAACCGTTTTGAAAAAGCTTGGCACACCCTGAACGACCTCCCTTGTCAGGTCCACCGCTGATCATGAATGGACTTGGAGCACCCGCAGCGAAAAATATTTCACGCTACGAGAAGCGAAAAAGCCGCTCCTTTCCACACCCTACCCAAGATATGTGATGCGAAAAAAATTAGGAGTTCATTTTTTTAGTTTCGAAGAGTGTAACAGAAAATAATTTGTTTTGAGATTAATGGGAGATTTAAAAGAATAAAAATAATGGTGGAAGAATAGAACGGGCTAGCGGTGCTCCGTTTGCAGACGGCTTAAATTTCTCTCAATTCCTCTGTGTGACAGTCAGCAGTGTGGCGTCATGAATTGGTAGGTTAACTTCAGCTTTCTACTGCAACCACATCGCTTCCACTCTGTTTACTTAAAAGTTGCGAATGGTGGTCCATCACTTCGGCCTTTGGTTTCGATATCACTTTTAGCCATTTTGTTGTATTATGGTTCGGCGAGCGTGAGGCAAAATCAATTTGAGAGGCATGAGCAAAGCTAAATATACTCGATGAGCAAAAACCAGGTGCTTTTGAAAACAGAGGCGCTTTTGAAAACAGACGGGTAAAATAGAAGAGAAGGAAGGTAAACAAATGTACGCACTCATCTATGTGAACATTACCTCTATGTTTTTGTGGGCAGTTAGCAGTGGATCGTCGAGCAGTGCGGTGAGAGCAGACCGATTTTTGAACACCTTCTTGAATATGTGATCGTTTCTTTGATATTCCACATAATTATGGCTTTCAACATACATGTGGGAGGTGAGTAGGAGGAACTCATCAGTCCTGTTTAGTGCATAGACAAGCACGTAGATAATCTGCCTCCTGAACTGATAATAGAGTAGAATCTAGTAATTACAAGGTATTCATCACAACTAGTGAACTAAGGTCCTTGCCTTCGTTAAAGAATAGTGAATAGTTTTTGGTGGGCCCGTGGACCACTAACCTAAGGGGGGGAGGGGAGGAGGTAGGGGAAGGGAGCGTAGCTGAAACCTCATTTGAATGAGAAGTGAGGCGACGACTATGCGGGGCGGTCAACTGGTCCACGAGAAGGTCGAGTTCGAAGAAAGGGAATACTATATATCAAGTGGAAAGCTAGGTGTCCCCCCTAGGGGTGCGGGTCGACGCACAGCGAAGAGTATCTGTCTAGCGGCCGAGCAGGGCCGTTCCACGATGCCGCGACGCTCCATGCCCTACAACTGGCCATCTCCTGGTCCTCGGTTTCTAGCCGCCGATAGTAGCCCTTTGGTAGAGACGCAGAGGTGTCACGCTAGTGGATTCGGCTCAGATGAGCCTCTCCTCAATGCGGGAATCAGCGGACAATAAGGGTCCCATTGCCTGGGTTCTGGGCCATCTTACCTCTCGTTGGTTCAGTGAGCTGTCTTGCTACTTTATCGCAAGCTCCGTCCTCAAACTACGATACCACGATGCTTGCTTTTTTTCTCCTTTTTCTTAGTTTTAGGCACAGCTTTTATTGTACAGCAGTCTCTTCCACGTAGAGGCCTTCTTCTGACCAAACCTAATCGCAGGGTGTAGATAACATCGAGGAAAGACCTAACGGTGAGCCAATTAGTAGTGGCTATGGTATGAAATGAAATGGAAACGCTTTGTTGGGTTTGTTTGCCGTAGGGCCTCGCCTGCCTTGTTCTGCTTGCCTATTATTAGGCAGCGCAATATCGATGATGTTGATGACGACGTCGGAAGTCCATGAATGTTCTGAACAGATGACAATTCTACGAAGCATTTCGGCCCGAAAACGCTTTTCCGCTTCCCGACTTTGTGGTTGACTGCTCACTCCTTCTTTCGGTTTCATTTCGTTCCTTTTCGTTCATCACTCGGCGGATACAGATGGTATGTGATGCGGTAGTACCGTCTTTTGGAAAGCATCAGTATAGTCCCAGGCTTAAAGGAAGTGGCCACGATAATTCTCACGGGGACGATAAGGGAAGTTTCGTACTGGACTGTGTAGGGGTCCTGCTCATTGAGACAACAGGTAGCGTTTCAGT